TAAAAAATAGTGTAACAGAAAATAGTGACAATAATATACCATTATTGACGCTATCCTTGTTTTCTTAGTCATCGGTTCAAATTAAACAAAAAAAATTTTAATCGACAATAACCCTAACTCAATTCACAAATTACTCAAATTCAAATCAGTTTCAACTACTGAATCAACAATCAAAATAAAAAAAATAAGAAAAAGTTAAATTACTTTTTTTTTTTTTTTTTTTACAAAATTCTCACTCATGCCCCAGAGCATGATGATAAGAACCGTATAGACATTCTCAGTCCTCCCCACCCTTTTCATGCATTCTCAGTCCTCCCCACCTTTTTCATGCAAACTGGAGGACAAGTCGTGCACTAATGATATTATATCTGAACCCTCTATGTTCTTTCCAAAGAAGCCAGGCTTCAGCTACTGAAAAGTTGCTGCATAAGTCGTGCATGTGGGTCTAGCAACTTTTCTTATCGCAGATTCGCAATCCAAATCAGTTATCACTCTATCAACATTTTTTTAGGTACGCATAGTATATATATATTTGGTCCAAGTCCTAATCTCCACCGAGCCAAAAGTTTGTGAGCGAGGGAGCTGCTGTGCCCCTATTTGTCTAGACAAGCAGGGTCATATTGAGAATCTTCAGTTATAATTTTCTTTTTTCTTTTTTTTTTTTGGGGGGGGGGGGGGGGTTGGGTGGGTTTGGGGGAGTGGTGGGAGTTGTTGCAAAACAGTGATGCAAAAGAAAAGCCATAACCATAAGCAACAAAATCAGCCATGTTTTTCAGGGATGTTTCCACATTCAAACACGGAACCTTGGCAGGTTCTTAATTTTATGATTCTACCAGAACCAACCAAGTTTGAAATTTCTTTTCTATTCTGTTGGCCTTCTTACAACGTCAGTTTTCAATGCTTCACGGATCAATGACCAAAAGTCAAGCGTTCATTCTTATTCACATACATAGGACATGCTTGACAAATGCTAATTATAACAAGATAAATAGGACAGTATTCGTGGTGGACAGTTGTAATTTTAGCTTGTTAGCAGCATGGTTAGTACAGAGGGGTCCAAATCGATACAGTTGTACTAGTTTTTTTTTTCCTCGTAAAGAAGGTATTTTAGTATACTAGTGCATTTTTTTTTAGCTTGGAATAATTGATTCCCAAAACATGCAGAACAATTATGTAATAAACCTTTGGGTGGTTCGAGAGCAATTAAATCATGCATTTCGATATTTCTTCTAAACAACGAGTAAAGAGATCCAAATAACTGGGCATCAAACAACCCTACAGGCTTGTCAAAACCTATAGCTCTTGGGTCTCTAGCTAATTGCTACCCTACGGCCATCACCTGCTAGTTGTTCCAGAAAAAAGACTAGGGTCAGTTTAATGTTCTGACTAGCTTGAATTTCTGGTAGTGTCAGATGCCACTATAGCCAGTGCGCCGAACCACTCAGGCCATGCATGCAGGCCATGCTACAAGAAAAAGTAGGACAATTAGGTACACACTTGGCTTGTCTGGACTAAATAGAGAGGGCCATTTTTGTTTGGAGCTCCGGATCGCATAGGAAAAAGAAGAGTACCAGTACTCAAACCTTCTGATCGTGGAGCAAGGTCTAGACTCCAACTCCAAACTCACGACTCACAAGAGATGAAGCATAAGAATCCAGTTATTGAATTGGATAGAAACATGTGGAAAGTCTGTATAAAAGTTAGAAGGAATTTCGATTCCCGTATTAAACATTAACCACTGGCCAAACGCTGGGCTAATAATGATTTAAATTAAAGCTAAACTAATTCATGGGAGAAGAACTTTCCGTAAAGAGTAGGCAACAGTATCAGATTACCAACCTTGAAAAGTAAAGCCTTAAACCTGACAACTCCCCCCCCCCCCCCCCAAAAAAAAAAAGAAGGCATTTTTCTTCTTCAACGTTTATAATCATTTATTTGGTTTCACGAAGTATAATGACGCCCAATTATTATATTGACTTCAACAATTTGAGTTTTGCACTGTCCAGCCAATCCGTTGTTCGTTAGGTAGCACTAAACATTTAAAATTGGATTGAGCACAATGCCAACCTTCCAAGCTTCTTCTGCCATTTTTGGGGTCAGCCATCACAATTTTAGGCCAATTGCGGTATTCTGTGTGCATAGGCCTATTGGTCCTGTGGCCGTGTCCAGCATGTGAAAGAAAACGAAAAATGAATAGGAAAAACACAGCAACATTGCCAGACGAAGAAGGTGGATCTTTCATCTTAATCTAACTATATGAATGCTTCCAAATCTTGTATATTTTTTTTTATCACCTGTGAACTTTGAACTTTCTAATTAATTAATCTTCCATGAGCTGTAATCCTTATATATATTTTTGTGTCTGGTTGTTGTGGTGGGACATAAATAAAAGCGTTAAAGGCGATAATGCTGAGAGAATGATAAACAAGAATGGCGCTTAAATTTCCCTTGATTGAGGAAGGATATTCTTTTAAGATGACATTAATGTATCAGTTGTGGTTCACTCACTATGTGGGCTTTTTAGTGCTTGCATCTTCTTCATTATTCGTCTCCTTTAATTTTAAATTTTAGTTTACACATGACAGTTGATTAAGATAAGTTGAAAAGCTGTGAACATGTCCAAACTCCAAACTAGAAAACATACTAACTAGCTAGTATCTGATATACTAGTAGATTAATATACGAAAAGAAATGCTGCTGTATGGCGATGGCATGGCATGTGCAATCTGAAAAAAGTTTTGGGTAGAGAAGAGGAGACACTTTCTGTTGGAGGTTGACAGTGAAAAATAATTTGGTGTTGCTCTATAGTAGCGGCTGTCCAGGCATGCCTTTTGATATTGATATGTGTGATCATTTTATAATAAGCTGTTTTTATAATTAAACAAGGAAGCTAATTGTTCATCCAAAAAAAGAAATTGGGACGCTGCTTAACTTTTGGAACCCTGATGATTAAAATGTATTTAATCGAGTTCATTTTTGGCGCAGAAGTCAAAAGTGGCATGGTCAAAAAGGAAGGGGGAAAGGATTACTTCGACTATTTTCAATTTAACCTTAGCTTTTCTCGAGTTCCCATGTTTATGTGGGCTTAAACTTATCTGATCACCGTACTTTAAATCTGGCCTTTTTTAGATTCAAGCTTTTCAAGAGCAAAAACATGGTGCATTGGCCACGGATGAACACAATTAACATTAACTGGATGCTTTACAAAGATTGGTGGGATGCAAGAGTAGATGTATTTTTTCAATAAAAGGAAACCATTACCACAAAATTCCAATATCCTTTCACTAGTAGTAATGCTTTTCTTTCTCTGAATTCTATAGAAAAAAAAATCCTTTCTCTGAATTCCTTTAAACATTTTTCGGATGTTTTTACCCTCCAAATCAATAAAGTTAAAGCAACAAGGTTCTTTTGACAGCTTATAGCTATGGGTACAGAGGTTACTTTACTTCCCCCAATAAGCTAATTATCAAGTAGAGATCCCACATTTTGAATTTGATAGCAGAAAAGCTTCATCAGAGTTTGGGTGCAAAAACTGATTAATGGTCTAAAAACCAAATCATTCAATGACATGCTAAGTCAGCTCCATTTATAAAATAGGGTCCACTCGTACGGAAATCTATCTCTCCACCACAGAACAACACTAGTAGGTAGTAGCACTGGCGATCTGTCTTCCCGATTTTTCATTTTTTAAAGCCAAAGCAACGGCAGGACATCCCGGGTTTCCCTCAAAAGTAGGGCCGAAAGGTTTATCACAGCAAAGTCTTTTTTATTGTCTCACATTAACGAAGATTAACACCAACAGGCAACAACATCAGATTACAAGACTTCCTCAGATTACAAGGTTTATCTTTTACTTTTCTTTTCTACTTGGAATAAGAGTGATTTATCTATGTCAAATCTTTAATATACTACGTGGTATTTGATATGCCTATTATTGCCCTAATAGCTTGTTAAAATTTAAATATGAAACCAAACTACCATCATATTCTATGATATGAAGGAGGAAAGAGTTTTTTTTTTTTTTTGGGATGGAAATGGATATGTATGCCAACTAAAAATACTCTTTGCTTTTTTGCAACCTTTGCTTGAGTTTTGGCTGAAAAAGACAAAGCCGTTGTTTGCTCAAGGACCCAAATCTTCATAACTACGCATTTTATTTATGAAAATTTGAGCCAATGCCCAATTGCACATGGAAAAGGAAGAAAAATCAGCTATTGTCCGAGGGGAATGACAGACGACAGAGCAGGGGCCAATCATTTTCAACATCTAGACTGAAGCATCAATGATGAAATAAAATAAAACTGATCTGAAAATGATATTTCAGAGTGACGGAAGTTTTGTTTTTATCATAACATTTCAAGACAGGAGATTTTAGTGGGAGAGAGATCTGGCAAATTAAACTCGTAAAACATAAAATATTTATGTTATCCAATATTCATCCTTAGGGCAAAGTATATAATGCAACCAATAAATCCCATGTATCCCCTCCACCGGAAATTACTACTACTAATAGTATATATTCCTGGAAAAAAATAGGAAAACGGCAACAGGCGATGGGCGCATGGCATGCAGTTGGCTCCACATTAATTCATATTCACCAGAATAATTACTTGACGATTCGTAGTCAAAAGCAAATGTTTGAACAAATTCAAAATTTTTTTAACACAAATTCAAGAAATTGGATAACAATTAGGATTTGTCCCATGTTTAGAACTTTGTTGGAAATAAATTTCAGATAGGTAAAAAGAAGAAAAAAGTTTAGAGAGTTATGAGTAGTCTCTTCTCCACAGTCTACTCCAGTCCAGGACCACCTGACCAGAAAATCACTCACTTTAGTACAAGAAACAATTCATTCATTAACAAGATTAATTACCACGTTAACTTAGGATTTACGTTCTCCCACTCCATAATTATATCCACAACAAAGATCTTCTTGAAACCCACACGTCATGTTACAGATATACTGTCGTGTTTTTTCTATGGGAAAATTTTGCAGGTAGCTCACTGTTGGGCTATTCTGCCCGGAAAAGAAACACTATAATAAGTGAGGAAAAAGAAGAGAAAAAAGAGAAAAAATCTGTCTTTGAGTGAGAACAAAAGAAACAAGTGTTGTCGTCCGAAATTCGAGCTTTGAAGAAAAAGGGTCCCACTAAGACGAGAAAGAGAAAGAAGAGGGAAAAAAAAGCTGGTTTCTTGGGTCCCAGTGGAAGACCAATTAAACGCCATGCTCCCCCCTCCCCTGAATTCCTCAATAATTATCACCATCTCTGCAAGCCACCGTTCCTTTAGGACTTTAGCCTTTACTCTCTCTCTCTCTCTTATCCTTACCTGCAACTCACTCACCGGCTTAGCTCGGCTCAGCTCAGCCAGTTCAGCGCGTGAGAACTACTCTCTTATCCCCTAAAGGTTTCAAAATATGCTGTTTTTTTCTCCGTTTTTAAGCCGCTAGCTTTTGAAAGTTCAAAAACCAAACTCGCGGCTTGTTGTTTAGGTGCTTTGATTTGATTTGATTTTTTTTTTTGGGGATGAGAAATTTCTCTCTTTCTCTGTATGTAAAAAAGCTTGTTTCTTTCCTCTAATCTCCTTTGTCTCTTGCAATCCTCGTCTGATTTGTTTGGTCATTGGTCTGAGCAGCAGTGCAGTAGTCACTTTCTCTAACACTGCAAACGCACAGACCATCCCAAAATTAGTACGTTTCCTCTTCTGCTCTTCAAACCCTTCTTCTTCGTTATACTAGTAGCTATACTAATTACATACATATCAAACAAATCCCTTGCAAAAGCTCTGCATTTTTACAGAGATTCCATCCGCGTCTCTCTCACAACTTCCCCATTCAATGGAGAAAGCACCCTCACCCATCTCCATACCAGAGAAAATCCCTCCACAAGACCTACCAGAGGCCTCTCCTAAGCCTTACAAGAAAAACTTTGTTACTAGTCTGATGGAAGCCGCTACTCTCCGCTCTCCTTCTTTCAAGGAAGATACCTACTTTATCTCCCATTTGAAGTCTTCAGAGAAGAAGGCGTTGCAAGAGCTAAAGGATAAGCTTATGGCTTCTTATGGCCCTGAAGGGGAATGCACAATGTGGGGAATCCCTCTTCTTGGTGGAGATGAAAAAGCTGATGTAATTTTGTTGAAGTTCTTGCGAGCTAGGGACTTCAGGGTCTTGGATTCTTTTCACATGTTGGAAAAGTGTCTTGCTTGGAGGAAAGAGTTTAAGGCAGACAATGTTCTGGAGGAAGACTTGGGATTTAAGGAGCTTGAGGGGTTGGTTGCTTATATGCATGGCTATGATAGGGAAGGGCACCCTGTTTGCTACAATGCTTATGGGGTTTTTAGAGACAAGGACATGTATGAGAGAATCTTTGGTGATGAAGAGAAGCTGAAGAAGTTTTTGAGATGGAGAGTTCAAGTTCTGGAGAGAGGAATTAGTCTCCTGCATTTCAGGCCTGGTGGGATCAACTCTATTATTCAGGTGACTGATCTCAAAGACATGCCCAAGAGAGAGCTTAGGGTCGCTTCAAATCAGATCCTCTCTCTCTTTCAAGATAATTACCCTGAAATGGTAGCTCGAAAGGTACTTGACTCTTACATAAATAGAAATGGCTCTCTTCTCTTCAAACTATTCTGGGGATTGGTTTAACTCTCTATTATCTCCTTTTTTGGGTTTAGATTTTCATCAATGTTCCCTGGTACTTCAGTGTGCTGTATTCAATGTTCAGCCCATTTCTAACTCAGCGAACTAAGAGCAAATTCGTGATATCCAGAGAAGGATATGCAGCAGAAACACTCTACAAGTGAGTCTTTTGCCTACATTCAGTTCTTTACTTTCTTAGCTGCTTTTCAGTTTCCTCTGTTTTCGTCTGTATAGATGCTGCAGCTTCACTTTGAGTAACATGTTGACGAATCTCCTACGGTTACTGCGTCTAGTATATTTCCTTGTTTTCCCATCAACAGTTTAAAGATCCAAAATTAAATACCTGTCGTTTACATTATTGGTTTTTTTTTTTTTAATCCAGTTTCTGATATTGTTAACTCTCAATAGCGGTGTTCGAATTTTGCCTTAAAAAACCCTAATTCTAGCTCTGCTAAAACACAAATTTTGTTTGTTAGATTTATAAGACCTGAAGACGTTCCGGTACAGTATGGTGGACTGAGTCGACCCAACAATTTGCAGAACGGTCCTCCAAAACCAGCCTCCGAGTTCACTGTCAAAGGAGGAGAGAAAGTGAACATTCAAATTGAAGGGATTGAGGTAATTTTTGTTGCTTTCTATTAACTTTGATTGTCTTAGTCAATTCGTATGCGAAATTGTGATCAAAGAAAATTTTTTCATAATCTAATAAGAGTCTAAACTCGATAGTACTGGTTACCATGAGTAGTTGGTAATAATCTTGAGGGTGGTTCAGGCTGGTGCAACCATAACATGGGACCTGGTAGTGGGAGGCTGGGACTTGGAATATAGTGCAGAATTCGTGCCCAACGCGGAGGGCAGCTACACCATTGCAGTGGAGAAGCCAAGGAAACTGAGCTCTTCAGAGGCGGCCATTCACAACTCCTTCACATCAAGAGAAGCTGGCAAAATGGTACTTTCTGTGGATAATACTACGTCCAGGAGGAAAAAGGTTGCTGCTTATCGCTATATTGTCCGCAAATCAGCCCTGGTGTAGCTTCAATAGGAGTTTTAAGAGTATTTATCTTAATTTTTGTTTTACTTTCCATCTGTCGCTTGAAGGGGTTTAATTAATGCTTGTGAACCTTCTTTTTTTTTTTTTAAATCTACTTCAGAGTACTAAATTGCTAATGTGATGTATAAATATGGATGTGTTGTTATCATCGTATGGCTTAATATATTCATACAGAAGCTTCAGTTTAGCTTTCCCTAAAAAATGTATCCATATTTCTACTACTCCATATCTGATAAGGAAGAAGAGAAAAAGAAAAAAGAAAGACTCGAGGAGCTGGAATCCTGTGATTCATAGAAAAATGGATTTGCTCACTGCGTCTGGAGTCCTGAAAGGGATTTTGGTTGTGGTCACAAGTTGATTTCCTATGGTTTCTTTTTGTGTTTTCTTTTTGTGTTCTAGTTGGGAGGGTGGTTGGACTTGGATCTCATCTAAATGCAACTAGACTCCGGGACTGGGGGGCTCGCCTGGGTAATGTTTTGGAAAGTCTGGAAATAGTGGAGATGAGTACCCACATTCACATGTAGCGATGTAAGAAAGTAGAGTGCGTGTGGTCATGGATGAATTGAGTTCCAACGTGCACATGGAGTTGAAAGAGAAAGCTTATGAGCAATCTGTTGGTCTGATGAAGTGATGATGACTATGTCCTCTGTTTCATCAGGTACGTGTCTGATAATTTCACTTGAAATTGGTCTCTTCTGTTATTTTGATTTTTATTTCCTTCTCTTGCTTACCATCTAAGCTATCCTTCAGAACCTTGGAATAGTGGATGAAGAATTTGTTAATACTAGTTTTTCTACAAATGATCTGTTGTTGTTGTAAGACGTAGACAGCTAGAGACTGTACTAAAATCACTTCCAACTTTTTCTTTTCTTGAATTTGAATTGAAAAGAAGTTAGTACTAGAAAACATTTCTGGGATTGTATTTTTTTATGAAGTTATGGTGTTGATTGTTAACGTCTGAGATGAGGCATGGAAGGGCATGGGCCTGCAGTCTGCAGGTCAAATAGGTAAGAGAAACTCACAGCTATCGAATTTCAAGGGTTTGGACTTTTTGGAGTAGTCCAATTCCAGCCAGCTGCCCCTTACTTCTAAGGTCTAACAGTTCTTGAGCTTATGACTTGTGAGGTCACCCGATAGGCTAATGGTTTTAATTGCATCACTTGGACTAAAGCGAAAATTTTGAAAGACAAGGATGTAAACTGTAAGGGGCCTCCACAAATGGAAAATGAGTGGCAGTGCAAAGACAGCATTTACAGATTCTTCAGAATACTACATCATCGTTTTTCAGAAATAAGAACCTATAGTTTCCCCGCTTCCATTTAAAATCTTACTTACGTCAAGGAAAATACGCCAACTGCTTGTGTTTCTTTCTTATGTTAAAGATTGTCTAGACTCGAATACTTAAATCCTGCCATGTTGCAATGCGCTCTACCTACTTCCTTGAACAACTTCCAGTAGGATTTTCTGCAAGTTCGTGCAAATTAAGGCCAAACTATCAAGAGATCATAGAACGGTTTCAAAATTCATTAGCACGTTACTTACGAAAACAGTAGAACTTTTCTTATTCCTTAAAAGTCGAACTCAAACCCTCAAGTTTTATATTAATTTTGTATTTTTGTTTTAAAATTTATAAAGAATACTTATATAACTGCTGAAATTGAAAGATGACAATATCACAATTTTTCACATGTTGAGGCCATATTGTCATGGTCCGCAAACCGATCTAGGCTTAGCGGTTCTCTCCATACTAAGTAGTAGTTCAAGTTCTAGTGGGACTACTCTTGCCTTAAACCTTTCTGTTATTCTTTTGTTAGCCTTTCTTTATGTACTTGCTGTATCCTTTTGTTTTGCAACATACTAGGTGGCTAAGTCTCACAATCTAAAGTGTTTGTGCACTGTTTCTTGTATTAGGTTGATCTGAGACGCGAAAGAGTTTATTCCCCGTGTCTTGGAGTTACGTGAGCTTGGAGCTTGAGTCTTGATTCGTAATAAATTGTATTAGAGCCTGGTTCGAAAGAGCTAGGAGTCGATGGCAGAACCAAATGCTGAGGGGTATTGTAGCTTGGATTAGACCAGAGGTGGTGACCAAAGCCTTAGTTAATATGCAACAGATCTCTACTGGTGACAAGAGGAGCCAGAGTTGTTGTAAGAGTAAGAGTTGGCTGGGCAACTAGAGTTGGCATCAGTGTTGGTCAGGGGACTTGTGTACAAGCATCCTGGTGTGGTGTGCTGCTATTGTGGTGAGTTGTGCAAGCATCCTACCGTGTGTGCAGACATCTTACTATGTGTGCAAATATTCGACTGTGTGATGTAGGCGGTTCGCTACATGGTGCAAGTGTTACAGACTTAAAGAGGAGTCCTGAATCCCACATTAAATATAAAAAGAGGGTCACTGGGATATAAAAGGGTTCACACCATCTCTCCCTTGTAAGGTGCCTTTTGTAGGATAAAACCGTAAGACCAGAGGGGCTAGAGCGGATAATACCTCACAAGGGTGTAAACCGTAGCAGAAAGGTTGATCTGGGTCATCGGATGAGTGGATGCCCGGGTCTTGAAGCTTGAGTCTCGACCCGTGACAAGTGGTATCAGAGCCAGCCTTAAATCGTTCGATCCACACCAAGCGCCTCGAGGGAGGTAGGTAGGGTGGCCAACCTCCTTGACGAGGGCGTCACGAGGTTGGGTGGGGGAGAATGTCACGAATCTAAGGAGAAGCTTGAGTCTCGACCCGTGACAAGTGGTATCAGAGCCAGCCTTAAATCGTTCGATCCACACCAAGCGCCTCGAGGGAGGTAGATAGGGTGGCCAACCTCCTTGACGAGGGTGTCACGAGGTTGGGTGGGGGAGAATGTCACGAACTAAGGAGAAGCTTGAGTCTCGACCCGTGACAAGTGGTATCAGAGTCAGCCTTAAATCGTTCGATCCACACCAAGCGCCTCGAGGGAGGTAGGTAGGGTGGCCAACCTCCTTGACGAGGGCGTCACGAGGTTGGGTGGGGGAGAATGTCACGAATCTAAGGAGGAGTCCTGAATCCCACATCGAATATAAAAAGAGGGTCACTGGGGTATAAAAGGGTTCACACAATCTCTCCCTTATAAGACGTCTTTTGCAGGTCAAAATCCTGATGTTAGGGGAGCCAGAGCAGACAATACCTCACAAGAGTGTGAACCGTGGTAAGAAGGCTGATCTGAGATACCGGATGAGTGGGTGCCCAAGTCCCGGAGCCACATAGGTTCGGAGCTTGAGTCTCGACCCGTGACACAAGCATCCTAAAAGGGTTACTGTGCTCATGAGCTGGTGAAATGCTCTTGGTGTGTTGGGTGCGAGCGTGTTGGAGTGCAAGACAGGTGCTCGACAACTTGTTGCTGTATGCTGTGGTGTGCTAGGCGAGTTGTGCTGGTGTGCCATGCTAGTTTACAGGAACCAGAATCAAATCACTAAAGTGTTTACTAGAGTTAAGGTAAACCTTTGGTTTGTGCATTCATGGTCTAACAGTTTGTGTGTTTTGGACTGTGGCATGGCTAGGAAAATCTAGACAGGGAGCCAAAATAGGGTGTTCAAGGAGCGCCCACCTATAGACAAGTGGGAAAGATTTTTTTAGATAACAGATCAGTTCAGGGACATTAAGGGATCTTCAAATAAGACAATGAAGAAGCTCATACAATGTAATAAGGCAATGGAATCTGTGGTGACAACCTTACAAGAAAGAGTTAGCCAGGCTCAAAGTTGATCATGCTATATTGTGACTTGCTGTGGTTCTTGGTGTAGGCTTGGGATCAAGAGTAGAGGTGTCTAAGCATTTCATTGATGGAGTCAAGCTATGGGTAAAGGCCAAGCTACAATGACGAGGCATGCAGGAATCAAGTTGAACTAGAATTGCTACGAAATCGACTACTCAGGTTGAGTGCACCAAGTTTCCAAGGTCGAAAGGAAAAGGCTAGAGTGGGCTAGACACCAATGTTTATTCCTCAAATGAGGAAAGGGTTGTGGGGAAGCCCAAATTTTACAAGACTGATAGAGCCGCTAGTAGGGAGTGAGGAGCCCTTGAGTTGCTATTTTTATGATGGTCCATATCAGGTCAGGAAGTGCCTGAAGCTTTTAGCCATCAAACGGGCAGAGTCTGTCCAAAGGCAAGAGTGGTAGGGGTAAACAGCGCTAGAAAGAGCCCAAGGAGGAGCGGCCAGGTGCTAGTCGAGACTGTCGAGGGGTTAGGTCCTCTTGAGGAGTTGATGAGGGATTGCAATAAAGTGATGAGAAACTTAGGATCGAGATCATTGGAAGCCAATAGAGTACATGTTTAGGTATGGGACCAAAATGTTGGAAAACTAGATTATGGGGCATGAGTTGAAATTAGCTTGTAAAGCAAGCGCATCATCCCCCTAGAAACAAGGGCGTTGCTAGAATGAGTGTAGGAGAATGTCATGGTTTACAAGCTAGTCTAGGCCTAGGAGTTTTCTCCAAGTCAAGTAGCAGTTCAAGTTCTAGTGGGATAGAGTTTGACAGCCAACGGGATTGGCCCTGAGGCGCACTGGAGGTTCAAGTTACAGGGAACCAACCCAGAACAATGGTACGGGCAGTGATCAAGATTCTAGAGGTTCAGGGAAATTGTTTAAGTTCGACAGGTTTGAGCCAAGCTCAGGGGTGAACACTGGTGAGTGATGCACGGGCACCCAATCAGACCTAGATGGGAGCACTGATAATCGAAGTGCAAGCGCACGGTTAGGCCCAGGTGCACTTGAACATAGTCTTGGAGGATCAGATTTAGGGGGCTTTGAGAAGACCTGATGCTCAGCATGATTTCAACAAGTCACAGATTGTGCAGCAACACCAAATCCCCTAGAATCAAGGATTGTCTCTCATTTCCAAGAATCAAGGGATTGTAATATCTATCGTTTATGAATGTATCTCAAACACTAAATGTAAAAGGGGCTCCGCTATAAATAGAGAATCCCCCACTCTCATGTACACACAGACCGGAACTATTGAATAATAACATCCTTACTCTTGGCTTAAACTTTTATGTTGTTCTTTTGTTAGCATTTCTTCAAGCACTTCTTGTGTCTTTTCGTTTTGCAGCATATTAGGTGGCCAAACCCCACAATCTAGAATGTTGGTGCACCGCGGAAGAGTTCATCCCTATATTTTGGATCCACACGAGTCTGGAGCTTCGAGTCTGGAGCTTAAGTCTCCATCCGTGATAGTAAGCCATAGCAAACTAAATTTTGATTTGGTTTATATCAGAAGATGGTTTGGGCTTTTACTGAGGAGGCTGAACATGCCACCCTCTCTGGCCTGTTAACATTTCTTGGATCAACAAGTTTCCAGTCCAACCTGTCAACCCACCACCGAGTCGCTTCTGGAAAAGTTACAATGACATTTTAATAAGTTCAATGCTAACAAGGACAATAGAAAAGGATAGAATTTTAAACAAAAATGATGAAGGCAAAGGCTAATCGCTAACGTGGCATAGCCAACCAATCCATAAATTGGACACGCCAGCTCTCAAATGTCAGGACGTGTCTTAACATGCATGCAGACATGTACCCCTTAGCCCCTATCTATATTTTTGTTCATATATGGGTTTATAGCTACATGCAACTAGAAGAAGCAGAAGAAAATGGCCAAGCCAACTTTTACACCACAGGATCAAAAGACAGAGTCTTTCGGGCTGCTGAGTGGCCACACCATCCCTGCAGTTGGGTTGGGCACTTGGAGATCTGGTTCTCTGGCCGTCAACTCTGTCTTCACTGCAATTGTGGAGGTAATGCTTCTCTTTATTTTTTGTATCAAGTTTCAGTACATTTGAAACTGCAGTTTCATAATTTATCTCTAGGGTCCAAACCCCCAACATTGACAGCGCAAATAGTCTACAAACTGGTAATGACTATGGCCCACGGGCCTGTCTAGGCCGAGAATGAATCGGGCTTTAGACTCACCCTATCATAACTTGAAAGTTCACGCTTAAAAATATGGGTTTTTAATTTTAAATAGTTTTTTTCCTTGCTAATTCTGGTTGCTTCAATATTACATCGATGTTATTAACTAATATGCTCTAGTTGTTATTTTGCATATGATACCGCAGCTTGATAAATACTAACTCTGATCGTGAAATCTTTAATCATGGCTGCAGTCTGGTTATAGACACATAGATGCAGCCTGGGAGTAAGGAGTTCAAGAAGACGCCTCTTCTCTTTTTCGAAGACCCATTTGCACATCGTATCCCAACAAGCAAATCTCTTTAAAATTTTCTTTCTTCTCTCAGGTTGGCCATGCAATCAAGGCAGCAATACACGCAGGGCTTAAGAGAAGGGATATTTTTGGTTACATCCAAGATATGGTAATATTTTGTTTGACTGTTACGTTTTAAGTATACTCTTAGGGGCATTATGTTTTTAGGTCTAAGTCCGAGGATATATAGTGCTAGGCAGCTGTGTTCTGGGTGGGGTATTTCTTCTGATAGGATCTTTAGAGGCTAGCAAAGTACTTTTTTTTTTTTTCCATGCTCGATCTATTCTGGTGGATGTTAATCTGTTTATCCTTTGTTGCTGGCTTGCTGCTGTGAAAGTGCTTGTCTGTCTGCTTTTGGGCTCAGCTTGCTTTCTCTTTTTACTGAAGAGAGTTTGTGGTAAAATATAGGTGCACAGACTTGTGTCCTGGAAGGGTTCGACCTGCCTTGAAAGAATACCCTTCAAGAACTCCAACTTGAATATCTTGATCTTTATCTGGTAATTTAATTTGTCCCTTGGCGTTTTTTATTTTCCATCATAAGACAATATTGTAGCTCTTGCTAGAAGTTGAAATTCATGAACCTTCAAAGTATGTTCCCCTGTTGCAGATACACTGGCCATTCTGCCTTACAGATGGAACCAGCAGGCCTCCCAAGGCTTCAGATATATAGGACTTCGACATTGAAGGGGTTTGGAGAGAAATGGAAAAGCTTGTCAAGGAAAATCTTGTTAGACACATTGGTGTTTGCAATTTTACTTGGAAAAAGCTGAATAAGCTGCTGGGCTTTGCTGAAATTATGCCCTCTGTATGCCAGGTATTTTGTATCCTGTTAGCAACCTAACATATAGAGGAATAGCTCACAAGGACCATAATTCTTCTGGCGATTTTGGCCCCAGATAGAAATGCATCCAGGATGGAGAAATGATAAAATGTTAGAGGCTTGCAAGAAGAATGGCATACATGTCACTGTAAGTTTAAAATATTTGGCCTCTACCATTGATACTAAGGTGTCTATTTATGAGTTGAGTTAAACTGCAGGCATACTCACCACTTGGTTCACCGCAAGGAGGTAGAGATCTTATACTTGATCAGAAGGTTGAAAGAATCGCAAAGAAGCTGAACAAAACCCCGGGTTAGATGCTTGTAAAATGGGCCCTGCAAAGGAGAACTAGTGTCATCCCTAAATCAAGCAACCCTGACAGAATCAAGGAAAACATCAAGATCTTTGGATGGCAACTTCCAGAAGAGGATTTCCAAGCTCTTTGTAACGTCCCAGATCAGGTATTCAGTTTCTCTGCTTCCTAGCTACCAACCTTTTTGTTTTTTTGTTGCATATCCAAAAAAAAAAAAAAATCTTTGTAACTAAAAAGGTTGTGCACCTGATGGGTTTGTGGGGCAGAAACGAGTGCTAGATGGGGTTGAATTGTTTGTGAACAAGAATGTAGGGCCTTTCAGTAGCGTGGCTGATGTATGGGATCATGAAGATTAATCCTTTTTAGTGAATGCAGAAGTCCATCAATTATTGCTTCTATGCGTTGTAACGGGTAGCTATAAGAAGTCTTGTTTCCTAGATGTCTACTACTGCAATTTGCAGTCCGATGTGTCTAAATGTTTACAATGAAAACTTTGCTAGAAAATTCAAATATCAGCTATGGTGACAGTTAAAAATCTGCGTTGATCACTGTAATTGAGCAGATAATAGCTTTTCAAGCTCTGGTCACGTATTCTTTGATCTTAAGTTCTAAGTTAAAAGAATGTTGGCCCATTATACATATTTAGAAATTCAATTGGGTTTGATGCATTGCAAATTTGGTAAATGCACCAAAATGCCACGTTTTATTAATTACTAAATTTAAAATTAGTTCTCAAAAATAAATATTCTTAAATTTTAAATATTTAATGAATTTTAAATATTTGATGTACTAATTAAATTTTAAATATTTAATGAATCGATATTTGATGTATTGTATGATATTTTATAACAAAAAATTAATTTTAAATATATTTTTAAGATTATGTGTATTTGATTTTTGGGGTTTAAAATTCATTATTCATGTTCATTGTAGCTTAAAGTTGCAAGAGAATAATAGGATTAGGATGCTAGTTTAGCGTGGGAAAAAATTTGGATTGGAAAAAATGCAGTAAGAAGAGTGATTAATTAAAAGCATTTAGTATAAAAATGTTGTGGGTAATTGAAATATTTAAAAATATATTTATTAAAAAAATAGAATATTAGTAATTGAAGCATACATTTCACTAAAAAAAATTTTTTTTTTGTCAATGAAGAGATATCAGAATTGTATGCTCCGTTTCGTACAATAAGAAAGCTTTATCATGATTTTGTTAAAAGATCTCTTGGCTGATGTATGATTTAGAATCAATATTTTTTGGTCTCAATGAAGACACATGGGTATGGACAACCTTTGATTGAATTGTTTAAGAAAATTCCAAATGACATATAGCTGTTTTAACAGTTTCCTTAAATAAGAAAGCACCAATGATACAGGACTGAGACTCTAGACTTTCTCGGAACATGGTTGGGTGGATTAGGGTATACATGTATCACAAATCACGCATCTAATGGAATTTTGAAGAACAATCTACATGCATATTAGATGATGTTGATTGCTGGGCACTGAAGTAAGTTGATGAGTGGGTCAATTTTCAAGTTAATCGAAAGGGTGCTTTGAGTGCAACAGCCTCTCTAGAATACATGCAACATTAATAAATGGCGGCCTGTTTATGTTGGGTTAGCTCAGGTGGAGATTGAAGAGGAGCGTGGAGCTGGTCGGAAGTTATTTTACGATTGGAGAATTTTGTTAATGACTAAATTTTACTGAGATGGAGATGTAAAATGATCCCCCATTCTAAATTTATAAAAGAAAGAAAAATGATGATGATATGATCCATGAAACAACATGAATGCAATTGGGTTTAAGAAATCCACTCAAATTCATGTACAACATCGTCAGACAAAAGTGGAAGAGTTGGCGTTCAATATTTCATCAAATGAATCAGACTATTATAAATGGAAATCGAAGCGGATGGGTCTATATTTTTTTCTTCCCTCTGCAAAATCATTTAGATTATCATTTAGCTTCAGTTCCTCCAAAATCACTAGATGTTTTCCTGCCAAGCCGATCAGAACTCTTCACTCTATTTAATTCATCAAGGGCCTTTGGGTCCACGGTTATATCGCAATTTATAACAGTCTCGCCTTCATCAGTTTTCTTGCCTTTGCAAATGTTAGAATCTGCAACGTCTAGATGACTTCCTCTGTGTTGGCTCACATCAGTCAAGGATCTTGATAATAATGGTCGTTTCTTCAGGAACAAGCATACGACTGCACAATCATCAACCTTGGAACCTGGATACTTACTTCTCCACGCTTGAACAGCATAATAAACCAAAACTTTAGCTGCCATGGATTGTTTCTTTACTGAAGCAACTATTCGTATGACCTCATTATTCGATAGCACATCCCATACCTGCAAAATTTTATGTCATAAATTTACACAAGTTATCTTATAAGCAAGAAGTCAAGTGACAGGCTAAATTCGTAATTAATTCTTGTTAACGAGTGTGGGAGGGTTTTGGAGTGAGGAATCAGTTTTGTTAAACAAACAGTTGTATTAAGCTTTTCCATACAACCTTCTGCTTGCTAGAAGGATACCCTCCTTAGAACAAAACTATCATTTTCAATCATTAATTTACTGCTCATGCAATCTTATGCTGTTTATGTTAGGAAAATAGGGTCCAGTCCCATGTAAGTGGTTTTGGACCAAATAAAGGTCATGGGCCTTGATCTTTTATTTTACACAGAGCCCTAGCTACTTAATAAAAAAAGAGGTGGGATTGTTTTAGGTGTGTGTCGAAAACCAAACAGAGAAAGAAGAAAAGCCAAGAAAAGCAGAGAGAGAAAAAGGAGAAGGGAGAGTTGGTTAAATGGAAGTCGATTCGTGGTCCGATTGAGTTGGAACCTTGTCAGGAGTTTTATGATTCAGAGTTCTACATTCTGAATAGTGAAGATCAGGTTTGAAGCTCTCTAGGAACAAATCCAGGGTGTATTTGTTGAGTCACTTATTTGGTGAGATTTCTCCAATTGTTTATCTAGTTGTTGATTAGCTCTAGTTTTAGCTAGAGAAGAACTTTGTATAACTATTATTTGATAGTGAAGATTTTTCTGGTGGCCTGTGGTTTTTTTCCTCTACACTGGAGGGTTTTCCACATAAATCTTGGTGTGCTTTATTTTTCCTGCGTATTTGATTATTGATTGTTGTTTATTGCTTCTGTATTGTTGTGATTATTGCTTCAGGCGCAACAAGTGATATCAGAGCGAGGGTTATTTTGAGACATCGATACAGAAGCAACCCAGGATAGAAGTAAATTCTGTTTGGGATCATGGAGGGTGATACAAGTTCCATGATAAAATTGACAGCTCGAATTATTCAATTTGGAAGCCTATGATGGAGGATCATCTATACTGCAAAGATTTGTATGAGCCAGTATTGGGTGATTCGGCTAAACCAGCAGATATGAAAGATGAAAGCTGGAAGAAGCTAGGTAGAAAGACGTTGGCTACAATCAGAAAATGGGTTGATATCAGCGTGTTCCATCATGTAGCGCATGAGTCAGATGCTCACATTGTTTGAAAAAAATTGATAGCATTGTATGAGAGAAAAACAGGTATGAATAAAGTTATGCTTGTTAAAAAGCTTGCAACTTTACAGTACATGGATGACGATCTGTTACAAAGCACTTAAGTGATTTTTAAGATATATTTAATTGGATGACTACTATGAAGCTTAAAATGGATGATGAAATGAAGGCATTATTTCTTTTGGGTTCATTGCCAGACAGCTGAAATACTCTAGTTGTGACTGTTCTTAATTCAGCTCCTGATTATAAGGTGACATTGGAGATGGCAAAGGACAGTATGCTTAATGAAGAAGCAAGGCGAAAAGATGTAGACCCTGGGAATCAAGCTCTGGTTACAAAGAACAGGGGTAGAAACATCGACAGAGGTCAGGACCCAAAAGGCCATGGTAAGTCTAAACATAGATCCAAGTTTAGAAGTAAAGTGAAGTGTTTCTATTGTGGTAAGGCAAGTCATATAAAATGAAATTGTAAAATCTTAAGCAAGAGCGAAAAGATGAGAAAGGCAAGAGTTCAGATGATGGCAATGTTGCAGTAGTGAATTCAGATAGTGATTCGGTTACTTTGATTTGTACACATGGTGATTGTAATCATGTTAGTGATCCCGGTATTGAGTGGATAGTTGACACATGAGTGGCATATCATTGTGTTCCTAAGAGAGAGTTGTTTACAACTTGCAAAGTAAGAGACTTTGGTTGTACCAAAATAGGAAACAAGAGCGTGTCACAGATTATTGGGATTGATGATATTGTTGTACAAACTAGTACCGACTGCATGTTGACTTTAAGGGATGTCAGACACATTTCAGATATGAGAATGAACTTGCTTATTATTAATGTCCTTGATAAGAAGGGATATGAAAGCCGACAAAAGAATGGACAGTGAAAGCTTCTCAAAGGATCTATGGTAGTTGCAATGAGAAAACTATGCTGCACAATGTATAAGACATGGATGCAATTGAACGGTAACCAGATAAATATCGTTAAAAATGATGCTTCAGTAAACTTGTGGTACAGGAGGCTGGCACACATGAGTGAAAAAGGGTTACAGGTTTTGGCAAGGCAGTCTCTCATTCCCTTGACCAAAGGTATGTCTCTCGATTCATGTGATTATTGTTTGTTTGGTAAGCATCATAGAGTTTCTTTTTGTAAAAGTTCTCAGAGAAAAGAAAATAGATTGAAATTAATTTATTCTGACGTATGTGGTCCTATTGAAGTTGAGTCATTAGGTGGTAGCAGATATTTTGTTACTTTTATTGATAATGCTTCACGTAAGACTTGGGTGTATATGTTGAAATACAAAAGTTAGGTACTACAGTATTTTCAAAAATTTTATGCCATGGTTGAAAGGATGACAGGGTTACCCTTGAAGTGTATTCAAACTGATAATAGTGGGGAATACACATCTAAAAGCTTTGAAGAGTATTGCTCAAAGCATAAGATCAGGTATGAGAGGACAGAACCTGGAACACCGTAACATAATGGTATAGCTAAAAGAATGAATCGCACCATTATGAAAAAAGTCAGATGTATGTTGAGGATGGCAAAATTATCAAAATCATTCTGGGGTGAAACAGTCAACACAGCTTGTTATTTACTTAACAGGTCACCATCAGTTCCTTTGGGCTTTGACATTCCAGAAAGAGTGTGGACAGAAAAAGATACTTCATACTCTCATTTGAAAGTTTTTGGGTGTAAAACATTCATGCATGTGTCGAAAGAGCAGAGATCAAAACTTGACAGTAAAATCACACAATGTGTGTTTGTAAGATATGGTGATGAAAAATTTGGTTACAGGGTATGAGATCCAGTAAAGAGAAAGACAGTCAGAAGCAGAGATGTGATTTTCATGAAAAAGAAATCATAGCAGACTTTGAGAAAAATGAGAAGACTACACGAGTTACTGTTGAGTGTGATGTTTCAACACCGATAGGGATTCCACAGGAAAGAGCCACATATGGTGAAAATGAGCAAGAAACAGAACTTGGAGATATGAATGAGCCAGCCACAGTTGGTGATGAGCCAGATGCTATTAGTTTTGAGCAGGGGGAGCAATCCTCTCTACCTAAGAGTGTTGAGCAGGGAGAGCTACCTTCGGCATCAAGTGATGTAGAGTCTCAGCCCAGGAGATCTACTAGAGAGCGCAGGTTATCTACCAAGTATCCAAGTTCATATTTTATTTTAGTTACCAGTGAAAGGGAGCCAGAAAGCTTCCAAAATGTGCAGGCTACTCCGGATAGAGAGCACTAGTTAAAAGTAATGAAAGAAGAGATGGAGTCATTACGAAAGAATAGTACTTATGATCTTGTTAAACTTTTAACAGGAAAAAGGCCATTAAAGAATAAATGGTTGTTCAAGTTCAAAAAAGATGGTGACAAACTAGTGAGGTACAAAGCTCGATTGGTAGTAAAAGGTTTTTCTCAGAAACCAGGCATCGATTTTGATGAGATTTTTGCTCCAGTTGTAAAAATGAGTTCTATTTGAGTGGTACTGGGATTGACAGCTAGTTTGATTTTGAACTTGAGCAACTTGATGTTAAAACTGTATTTTTGCATGGTGATTTACAGGAAGACATTTATATGAATCAGCCTAAGGGTTTTGAAGTGAAAGGGAAAGAGCACTTAGTTTGTAAATTAAAAAAAAGCTTGTATGGCTTGAAACAAGCTTCGTAACAGTGGTACAAGAAGTTTGATTCTTTTATGGTGAGTCATAGCTATAAAAGAACAGTAACGGATTCTTGTGTGTATGTTAAACAATTTCCTAATGATAACTTCATTATCCTATTACTATATGTTGATGATATGTTGATTATAGGACAAGATGCTAGTATGTTTGCAAGTTGAAAGAACAATTGTCTAAGTCTTTGATATGAAAGATTTAGGTCCAGCAAAGTAGATTCTTAGTATGGACATTATCCGGGATAGGAGAGCTGGAAAGCTATGGTTGTCACAAGAAAAGTATGTTAAACGAGTGTTTGGTAGATTCAACATGCAACATGCTAAATCAGTTAGCAGTTCACTTGTCAACCATTTTCATCTAAGTAAGAAATCTTGTCCAGTGTCTAAGGAAGAGCAACTAACTATGTCTAGTATTCCTTATTCTTCTGCAGTCGGTTCTTTAATATATCTTATGGTTTGTACAAGGCCTGACATTGCTCATGCAGTTGGTGTAGTGAGCAGATTTCTTTCTAATCCAGGAAAGGTTCACTAGGAAGCAGTGAAATGAATTTTTAGATATTTGAGGGGTACCTCAAAAATGTGCTTGACTTATGGAGTTTCACAACCAGTTCTAGAAGGGTTTACTGATGCTGACATGGCAGGCGATCTTGATAGTAAGAAATCTACTTCAGGGTATTTGTTCACTTTTACAGGAGGAGCTGTATCTTGGCAATCTAAGTTACAGAAGTGTGTTGCTTTATCAACTACAGAGGCTGAGTATATTGCAACAATCGAAGCATGTAAAGAAATGCTTTGGATGAAACGTTTTCTTCTTAAATTGGGGTTGAATCAGAAAGAGTATGTGGTATTTTTGTGATAGCCATAGTGCTTTAGATTTGAGTAAGAATACCATGTACCATGCTAGAACAAAGCACATTGATGTTAGATATCATTGGTTACGTTCAGTGATTGAAGAACAGCAGATGCTATTGAAAAAAGTCCATACTGATAAGAATGTAGCAGATATGTTGACTAAGATACTTCTCAGGAAAAAGCTTGAGCTTTGCAATAACTTGGCCGGAATGAGTTCCCTGGCCAAGGTAAGTTTCAAATGAAACTGCTATGGTGATGAATCTCCTCCTAATGGGGCTGGAGGGAGAGATTGTTAGAAAAATGGGGTCCAATCCCATGTAAGTGGTTTTGGACTAAGTAAAGGCCATGGGCCTTAATCTTTTATTTTACACAGAGCCCTAGCTATTTAATAAAAAAAGAGGTGGGGTTGTTTTAGGTGTGTGTCGAAAACCAAGCAGAGAAAGAAGAAAAGCAAGGAAAAGCAGAGAGAGAAAAAGAGAAGGGAGAGTTGGTTGAACGGAAGTCGATTCGTGGTCCGATTGAGTTAAAACCTTGTCAGGAGGTTTATGATTCAGAGTTCTACATCTGAATGGAGAAGATTGGGTTTGAAGCTCTCTAGGAACAAATCCAGTGTGTATTTGTTGAGTCACTTATTTGGTGAGATTTCTCTAATTGTTGATTAGCTCTAGTTTTAGCTAGAGAAGAACTTTGTATAACTATTATTTGATAGTAAAAATTTTTCTGGTGGTCCATGATTTTTTTCCCTCTACACTGGAGGGTTTTTCACGTAAATCTTGATGTGCTTTATTTTTCTTGTGTATTTGATTATTGATTGTTGTCTATTGCTTCTGTATTATTGTGATTATTGTGATTATTGTGATTATTGCTTCAGGTGCAACAATTTATACCTAAAGATCCATTTAAGTATCAAAGAAATGCTAATAAAAAAATTTTATTTCTCTAACAGCATATATCTGTCAAAATCTGCTCTCTTACCCCATCAGTTGCCAACACCACAAATTCATCTTTGCTTGTAAGCCTTCTATAAGAAACTTCAGGAATTGAGCTAAGACCATGATCCTTCAGGCAGAAATCCCCAAAAGCCCTTGCCATAGCTAGACCAGGGCAATCTTGATTGGGCATCCATACTCTTGGCACATTTGGTTCTTCATCTATTGCAAAGACCCTGCCACTGCACTTTCGGATTCTGTCCGCTTCACCTAAGTCACACCAGAGGAGAATTCAGAAAAAGAAATAACAAAGGAGGAAACACATACGTAAACACACAAAAGAGAGCACGGTAACATTTATTAGATGTATGATTTCATAGGCAATGTGAAATGAATAGAAGAAAAAATACCCACTTGGTATACTAGGTTTCAAGTCAACCGTGAGTTGGATAGGAACGAGTTGATTTTCATTGTCGCTAGTGCAAAGAATCGCACGAGAGTCCCCCAAGTTTGAAATTATCAAGTGTTCATCCTGAAAATGTCATAAGAAAAAAAAAATTAAGAAATACTACTTCAATCTACACTATCTACCAACAAGCTCTAATTTCATGCGAGCTGGAGTTCATGGTATACCTGCTTAACAATAGTTACACCTGTCGTGCCACTGCAGTAACTATCAAGAGACTCTTCCAAGCTAAGATTTTCATCCGATTCTTTGAAGGCTTTAATCAAACTTGCCTCCCAAGAAGAACAGATCTCTTTGTGACTGCTATCCTTCTTGTCAGTGTCTTTAATAATACCACTGTTATCAGTTTTACCATAACTTTTTCCAGCACCAACAGCTACGTCATTTTCTTTGCAGCCGTTAGGATGGGACATTTTGATGACTGAAGAAAGCTTGAAGGGCAAGGTGTCACATACATAGCGTGCAACCTTGTGACCAGACGGACCATGACCATCAAATACACCGCAGAAGAACACATTCTTCTCACCCATAAAGTTCTGGATCAATTTTAGTTTCATGCATTGAATAATTAACCCATAATTTTTGGACTACAACCCACATAAACATCAAATACAGCATTGCCAAAGAAATGAAGCATGTGCAGGTAGGTGGGTCAGAAGAAATATGCCTGCCTGACCTAGAAAATTGATATACAAATTTGTTTACAAACTATCATGTTGATAAATTAAGCTCCCACAAAAAGGGGTCTTCCTCCATCCACTATCCCATTGACAATCTTGTATCAAATTCTTCTCTAGTCCTGATCAGTCCTTTAGAGCTGACAGAGTAACATCTAACGTCAACCACTCATAATTAACTTGATAATTTAATTTTCTTGGAAAATGTTGCTCTTGGTCAGAGCAAGGTGTTTTTAATTTTTACCAACTGTAATGATATAGTTAGCACCTGAATTTTTGAATAATCAATAGGTAAAGAAATATTAAATATTGAAGAAATGATGATTAATTGAATTCCATTCTACAGAACATGACAACTCCAACAACATTAAAAAGAGAAAATAGAAAGAATCTGACATCACTGTCATGCAAACAAAATAAAAACGGTCAAGAAATTTTCTCACAGCGTCAGACGAAAAATTATGCAATATTTTCAGATAGAAGATAAAATCAAGTGTATAAATGTAGGTGCATAAAAAGCAGGAGACGATCACCAAACGTGTTAATACATACCAAATTTAACATTAAAATGTTCTCAAATCATCCAAACCTTGGAAAATCTAATGCACATTGCAAAAGCAGAAGAAAACCATAAATGAGTATCCCATGTTAGATAAAAAGTTTTTCATTACGATCTGAAGGACCTCGAAAGGTATAAAAACAATAAGGAATAAAATGTAATAGATAGAGAGAAGAAACGATAATAAATTTGGCAAGCTATATATTGATATTTGAATTGTGAATTAATCAACATGGCAATAAGAAAGTCACCTCCCGAACGGTCATGGCATCCTGATTGATCCCTTTTTTTCCCTTGCGGGTGTACATAGATGTGAAGGAAGAGGATCCCTGCAATCTCACAATGGCTCCACCATGTTCAATAGTGGTAAGATCCTTCTCATGTCCCTCCTCTTCTTTCTCCACCAAATTATCGTCATCGTGGCGTGAGCGTCTACCTTTGTACTTGACTTGTGCAGAACAGCAGGCACCCATGCTTAGTGGGTGTATCCAAGGCAAAAAAGATTAACCACCAAGGTACCCCCACCAAAAGGGTACGTACAGACGCCTGATGTTTTCCGAAAAAACCAAGCCCCAAAATGGAGAAGTAATGGTACCGGCAGGGACCCAAGAGGCTAAAAATTCAAATGCATGGAGAGCCAAAGGAGCAGAACTCAAGGCCATGATTTTAACGGATATTATATAAAAGGCCTGGTTAAAGAAAAAAAAAAAACAGCTTTTGTTATTTAGAGGGCAAAAGAGATGAGTGTACGAAGGGTGAGCCACTCATGACTTACGGCACATATCTTTTGCAACTATAAATATAGTAAGGAAAATACAAATAACGATATCAAAAAATTTTTAAAAAATGCAACTAACTAATTTTGGAATTTTAAGAATGAAAATACGGCATGCTCCTTGTCTGTTTCCTTTGAAATTTTAGTTTATTTGATTATTTCCACGTATGGAATCTTCCATTCAGATTTCTTTTCGCTCAATCTCCTTTATGATTAAAGTTTCGTTTATTACATAAAAAATAATTTTTATATTTTTAAGTATTTGTTTAATAAAAAATTAATTAATCAATGAAAAATAACTATTTGATTAAGAGAAAATAAGATAATTTTTTTGAAAATTATATTCCTTTTTAGAAGGGTAAGATAATTTTTGAAAAATAATTATTTATAAATAAAATTATTTATCAATATGTTTGAGTATAATTTTTATCAAATTGGATTTTGTACATGATTTTTTAAGTCAAATTTAATTTGACTCAATCAAAAATATTATTATATTAATAAATAATATTTTTATTTAATTTTACTCAAATAATTAAAATATTTAATATTAAATGTCTTTTAATATTTTAATTTAAATATTTTTATAATTTTACTCAAATAAAATTTTAAAATATTGTTTGAACTTGATTTGATTTGACTTTAAATATTATTATATTAATAAAAATATTTTGTTTAATTTTAATTAAAAATTAAAATATTAACATTAAAAGTCTTTTGATATTTCAATTTTAAATATTTTATTTTATATATTATTAAACATAAATATTTTTAATATTTCAATAATAAATAGTATTGTATTATTATTTTAATAATAAATAATAATATTTTTATTATTTTAATAATTAATGTTAAATAATATAATAACATTATTTTCTTAATATGAATATTTTAAATAATTTTTTATTATTTTTAGTTTAAAATATATAATTTTATATTTTTATTTATTAAGGTATTTATGTTACTATTTTAATAACAAATATAAATAAATAATATTTTTGCTATGATTTAATAATAGATACTTTCAACATATAGAATATAAAAATTTTACTAATAAATATTACTATTTTAATATTAATAACAATAATATTTGAAGAATAGTAATACTATTTTAAATATTTTAAAATATTAATATAAAGAATAATAAATACTTTTATTTTATGTATTTTTATATTAATATAATATTTTAATATCAAAATTATTATTAAATACAATTATTATTAAATATTAATAATTTTAAAATACTTTAATAAAAATAATTTTTAATATTTTAATACTTATATTAATATTATTTGAAAAAAAAAGACTTTCAAGAAAATAATCGAATAACAAAAAACATTTTTCATTAACTCATTCAAATAATAAAAAATCTTTACTTTTTCAAAAATTGTAAATTTTTTTTAAAAATTATTTTTTTGAAAATCAATTTCAACAAAATAAACGAAACTTAAATTATCTTCCATCTCCATTTCTATCTCTTTTTTTTTTTAACTGTTAAATATTAGTAAATTAAAAATAGATAGGTTTCCAGTTGCAGCATATTCTTTTCATACAAATACAAATTAATAAGTTTCGAAAATTTTTAACCGTACGTAAAATATATTTGTATAAGATAGAAAGTACACACAGTCGTAGCAGCATGTTATCTAAAGATGCTAGTCATTCATGGCAGTTGTTATATCCCACCCTACAATCTTGTTTAAAGCTTGGGAAATTTGCTACATATATATGCTCTGTGAGTTAGAAGAAGTAACTAAGGAATAACTATATTTTATTATTATATATAGAACTGTTAGTTACGAATGGAGCTTTGAGAATTACTATGCCACTTGCCATGGATCGGTACTTCCAAGCTCCATCAATCAGCCAGCAAGCATCCGGATTTCTCCAAATCCCTCTCTTCTCTTGTATAGGTCGGTTTCAGAGTAAGCAACCTCCTGAAATCAATGTAGTTACTCTAAAATGGGATGTCAAACTGAAATAATAAGGTCCACCACACGAGAGATACCTAACCCCGCATCTTCTCGACAGCTACCTCCAAAGAGGCAAACACTAATGTGGGCTTACCCATAAACCACAACTTAAAGCCACCCTCACACCTAAAATCCAAAATATGCCTCCTCCCAAGACTTAATCTTCTTTCTTTTTTTTTTTTTGGATAAATGAAAGAGTTTTCATGCAACAGAAGCAGGATTAATCTGCTACTAAAACAAAAGAACGGTTCCACATCATTTTATTTAACCCAATTATTTCCCACCAAAGCCTAATTAATTTCACTGCATCTTAGCCACATGCTGATTACTTTGAATAAGTCATACACATCTTTCATACTTTTCTTTAAGCTTGAAAATCTACACCAATGGTCTTCAGCATCTTGGCCTAGTGGCCAAGAAAGCCTTATGAAGACACAAGGCCAGGGTTCAACCCCAGCCTCCCCCTCTCCCCCCTTGAAACCGAAAAAAAAAAAATCTACACCAATGTGACTTCGGTCATTCAAAACCAAAAATGGATGAAATTTACCATTCAAAATTAACAGCTGTGCTTCATGTACTGATCTACTCTTATCTTTGATTGTACATTTCATGCATCTAACTTTTACAACTAAAAGCTTATAGACATTCATTGATATCACATTCAGGAATTTTTTTTTAAAATTAAAAACTATGCTGAAATAATATAATGCTGTGCACCACAATTAAAAGAAAAATATATATTTATATAAAATTAGACTTCAAAGGATTATCAAAGGCTTTGAATTGATGAAAAGGAACTGAACTCCCAAGATATTCAGGCCATGTCCATAGAAAAGATCTTCTCCACCAGCAAACTATTTTTTGCTACCCATAGACTATGCTACACTCTAACATGTAATGTGAGAAGAAAACGTTTCATGCTGCTTATGAATAATTTGTGAGCAAGTAGAGATGAATGATTAAAATATAGTAAAAGTTTCTAAATGAACATTGTCCAATGCCCAAAACTTTAATGCAACTCAATCTCTAGAAATCAACTGCCAGCTTCTAAACGTACTAAAATAGCATAAACTAAATCATATAACACATGTCATGCTATTATACATATGTCAGAAAGAGATTCTGTCAAACACAAGATGTATGAAATCTTGAATAAGAAAGAATTCAGAAATCAATTGCATGCTAAAAGCACAGAAAACTATTATATATATATATACTTTGCATGCCTTAATGTGTAAACTAAGACATTAGGAAGAACAATGATCACTAAGAAAAATTAAACAAGCAGCTACATCTCTTAAATGAAGGAACCTGGCCAATAAATGTACCCAAAAATAGGAAACAGAAAAAGAGAAACCAACATAAAAAAAAAAAAAAAAAAAAAAACTATGAGCTCTAAAGGGTGAGAGAAAAAAAAAACATTACAGAAGATGCGGAGTTGGAAAGAGTTCACCACCACTGATGAACAAGAATCCCACTTTCTCTGAGGGAAGTAAACAGTTCCAAGCATTGGGCGTAATTCTTCTCATATTTTGTACTCCTCTGACCAGGGCAACATCTCTGCCACCTATTATAATGGCATTCAAGGAAAATCTCATCAATCAGGCAGATTGCTCCCGTTTCAAACAACCTCGGAATCAAGTCAAATTCAGTTCCTTCAACATCCATTTTCATCACCACAAAATCCCTGTCTATAACAGTGTTCTTCAACCACTCTGCAAAATCAAACCCCTGAATCTCATCCACCTCAGCATTAAGTTCACCCTGGCTGGATTTCACAGGTTGAATTCTTCCCATCCCTCTGCCTTTATCCGTAAGCTCATTCATTTCTTCCTGGCCAGGATCGTGATTAATCTCAAAAGACAGTGTTTCATTCCTAACCCATGCCGCATAAGGCAACAAAGTAACCGCCTTCTTCTTCGCTTCATATTGTTCATGGAAAGCTTTGTCAGCCTCAATAGCATAGACATGAAAGGTTCTGTTCTGTTTGGGATATTGTTTCCTGAACCAGCTTCCAATACTAGAACCATAACTCCTAGCCCCAACATCAACATAAACATACCTATTCTTGAAGCTTATATCAACCATTGATGGCAAATACTTTACGTTCTTTATATTCTTTTTCAAGGTAATCCACGGCTTTAAGGGCTCCTCCTCAATCAGCGGCTCCGCCTTCTGGACTAATTCCCGTTTATGCCCCGGAACTGAGCACTTATTATTAGAAGCACCATCGGGAATCTTTCTGTCCCCGTGGTCAAGAATTTCAATCTCTTTTTTCAATACAATTTCTCTAATATATGGCATTGATGAATCGAAACCATCAATCTCAAGCATTTTAACTAATTTGCAAGAATTGAACAAATCAAGAAAAGAATTGAAACTATACGTATCATTAGCCTTGATGTGGACCACCGCAAACCCTTCGGGTTTCAGGGTTCGAGAGATCTCTGACGCAAAATCTGACGGTCGAGCTGATATGTCGAGGCGGGCCCCCCCAGAGAATATGAAGTCAAAAGTATTATCATTGAACGGTATCTGATGCCCCTCCCCTTTGATTACCAAGGGCTTGGCCGCTTTCTTGAAAATTCCAATGGAGTCCTCAACCCCAATCTCTTTCAAGGCGAAAACTTCCTGGCCTAAGGGAGTCTCTACACAGAGAGACTTGGAGTGAGGCGAGAGGTAACCCTCAGAGATCAGATCTTGGAAAACTGAAGAATAAAAATGGACAGCCTTGATCCACTCTTTGCTGGTATAGAGATCGCGACGAGGATTAGATCGGGGAAGGGCATCGTTTCCGACGACAGCGGAGACTCCTGCCCAGGCGCCAGGGATGACGAAGTTGAGATTCTGTGGCAAGGGGAAGAAGCAGAAGTCGCCAAGATTGCAGGATTCGCCGGTGATGGTGACGACGTAAGCGAATCGGAAGACTATGACTAAAAGACCGAAGAGAAGAGCACGCGCGAGAATATTCCTCAAAAGGCTCGGCTTCCCTGTGGTAGGTTCCATGGCAGACTGGCAGTAGAATTCAAAAAGGTGGGCTTTTTCTCTGTTTGAATTCTATCTTTTGTAGTATGATTTTGAATACCAAAAAAGAAGAAAAAAATATTTGAAAAAAGGTAAACCTGTGGAAGACAAACAAAGAAGGGGAGGTGGATTAACGGGAGCAGAAGCGAGCGGAGGTGTGGTTGGCGCCGACGAGAGTTTTGGAAAAACAGAGAGAGGTAGGAATTGGAAAATAGAAATGGAAAGCAAGGGTAATATGGGAATGCATGTTTTAAAGAGATTTATAGGGGAAAGTTTTTGCTGTTTACGGAGAAAGAGAGGCCATTGCTACGCTTGCCGCTGCTGGTGATGGTGGTGGGAAAAAAGAGCGTGGATTTTGAGGTTTCGTTTTCGTTGATAGTTGTGGAGAAAAGGGCAAATGGGATTGTTTGGGTGAAACTTGAAGAAGAGATAAAATGGGGGATTTTGGGGATAGATACGAGGACCGCGTGGTGACCTGGACTAGCGGGGTTCCACCCGGATACAAACACTATATAGAGCTCAGCTGGCAGCAGCGTGGAAGGTGAGGTTTTCTTGTCTTTAAATTGCCATCGGTTTATCCTCTATTTCCATATTTGCCATGCTAGCTTGCATTGCTTTTTCGTTTGAAAATGGAAAAACAAAAATGAAATTATGAATTGCCATCACTTTGGAATTGTGAATATTTTGCTTGCACATGATGCTGATGAATATATTGATGAATGTATTAAAATATAATTAAAATTTTACCTTAAGGAAAAACTTCATTATTACGTATTTCTCATTCTCAAAATAATAAAAGTAATTTTTATAAGTAAAATAGTTAATGTTATAAATAATTTTTAGATTATAGTAAAATATTTAATAAGATATCTAAATTTAAAAAAATTTTAATATGATAATTATGATTTATTAATTAATATGATACTCATCTCTAATATAATTAATTTCAAAATGATGATATATAATAAATAAATAATTTTTCAAGTATCACACCATATATAATATTATATTACAACATATATAAAAATATCATAAGATTTATTTATGGGTATGTTTAGATAGACAACCTATATTATTGACATGTAAAAAAGTTCTAAATAACTTTATTCAATCAATTATTTAATTTTAAAAATTTTTAAATTTTTAAAATTTATATTTATCCAAATCTTTTAAAGTATATAAGTTTTATCATAATTTATATCTAAAAAACATATCTCATACCTTACTCTTATCCATATATATAAAATACAAAATTCAAATAATTTTTAAAGATTAAATCTCTTAATCTTAGGAATCATAAAAAATCATATATCATTTAAATCAATATTCATATAAATTTAAGTTAATAAAGTTTGGGGTTGAATAATTGTTGTTTACCAATTTTTTTATCTCTATTTTCTTATGATGTAAATAAAAAAATATTTTATTTTAATTTAAAATTACAAATATTTAAATTTAAAATTATATTTTGACCAGATTATTTACAATTTTATCTAATAGTTGCAATCATAAATATTGATTTAAATCTACAATCATATTACAAAATAGTACATACCTTCTTAGAAAAAAATAAACATTTAGCATGTAATAATTTAATATATAAGCATGCGATCACAATTCATACGTTACTTTTTTTTTTTTGTAATTTTGGAGTTTGAATAGTATTTATGTTGGTGTTGAAATGTTAAATTTAATTATGAATATTACGAATTTATTTGTTTTTATAAAAAAGAATTTTGAATTCAAAAGCATATAAATAATAATCTTTACATCCATTAATTGGATGGTAAATCCTAATTATTAGGCTAAATTTCTTTTTATTTTTATTGAAATTTCAAATTAAAATTTATAAATTTACTATCCAAAAAATTTTAAAGAACAAAATTAAGGTTTTCAACCTATAAATAATATGTCACGTGTAAATCTTAGTTTTTACATTAAAATAATATATATTTTTTAACAGTGTATGTAATTGTAAATAAGATATTGATTTTTTTTATTAAGTTTTGTATGTAATTTTTACTTTATAACTCAAAGAAATTTTATTGAAATTAATTTTTTTCAAAACTTGCATAATGCTAATTTGGATTCTTTCATAATAATTTATATATATAGATTATTTTTTGTAATTTTTGACTACAAATTATAAATGATTATAAATATTTTTATTTATAGATAAAATTTTAAATTATGAAAAATATAATAAAAAATTTTGTGCATGGCACGGGTAAAAAAACTAGTTAAGTAATAAATTAATAATTTAAATACTATATTAAAAAATTTTAAATCTAAGTATTAAATTAAATATTTTATTATAGTTAAAGGATGATTTATGACATTAATTCTAAACAAAATAATAAGATAAATAATAAAAGTAGGAAGTTTAATAAACCCATTATTTAAAAAATATTAATATAAGCATATCTTGTAGAATCATTTGTCTTTTAAGTTTATACCAAGTGTCAACTAATGCTATGGATGTTAAAACTATACATAATGTTCCTAACATGGAAATAAGGACAAGTATTAGCGTCCAAACTCCAAACCTCAAAAAAAAATTTAGTTTAATAATTGTCAATGAGTCGTTATCCTTCTATGTACTTTTAGTCAGTCTCAGACGACATCATTGTTTCTGATTTTTCTCTTTAATTAATGCAACCGATAAATCTTTCACTTGACTTGCAAACCAACGTGATCAATGTAATAATACCACAACATCATTTTCAATTTTTTTCCTATTTGACCCGCCACACTTCAAACTAAAATGGTATCCTAAACAAGCTTAGGTGTTTGATTCCAAAATAATATTCTTATTTTTTTAATTACATTAAATTACTAAAAAAGTTTTTTATTATTTTAGATTTTTCATATACTCAATTAAAATTTCAAAATATTATTTTCGTTAAATCTATCTCTAAATAAAAGCTTTAAATCTATTATATTTACCACGATAGTGTTAGTATCTATGGGATCGTTATCTCTATCATTTACACCGTCATCACAGGGTTTAATTTTAAATATGGAATAACACAAAATAAAAATAAAAAAAATCCCTAAAACTAAATGAATTGGTATTAAGTAAGTAAAGCATTTTATGTTATTCCACTGTTATGATAGTAAGTAGTGTTTTTTTTTTTTTGGTCTTAGCAGATAAGGTGGTCTGCCTGGTACGCATGCTTTGGACGCGCAACGGATGCCGCCCGAGCCGTTATTTTATTTTTAGCTGTAAATTATTCAGAAATCAGAGTTCTCCCGTGATCCTGAGGCCTTTATCTAGCAGCAACACCATGTCGCTTTGTCAAATTTGTCTTTACACATTTGGTTTAGTTGGTAGCTGCCACCTGCCATAGCTGCTGCTTGATGACTAATCCATAATTTTAAAAATATAACCTGAAAATTCATAATAAAAATGATTGTCTTTTCAATTAATTAATATTGGATTAATGATAAAAACCAGTATAATACATTCTGAAATCAGGAATTTTTGCGTTGTGCTTGGCCTTGGTATTTATTTTATTTGCCGAATATGACGCTTATGACAGCGGGAGTTGGGCATTGGGCTGCGGAACATGAAGGAAGGGAGGTTGAAAAGAAGAGGCACAAGCGGAAAAAGCGGTAGAGAATAAAACAAGTGATGGTTGGCAGTAACTACTAATTAACTAGCAGCCGGATTCAACGGCCCTTAATTTGACTGCTTTCCTCTTTTTCTTTTTGGTCCCAACACACCCAACCGAATGAGAAGGTGAGGGATTATATTTATACGGCACCTTTATAATATTTTATCAAAATTTCTGTCAAATTTGATATTTTCACATATTTTTTAAATTTTTCTGTGAGGGATTAATGTTTTATAAACTAAAACTAGTCCCTCGAGTAGACTAATTATTTTAATATAAAAATAATAAAAAATAAAATAAATTTTAATATTAAAAATATATAGTATTCATAAATTGTGATTATATATATTTTTTGGTTTTTTTTTTCTGTTATATTATGAGTGTTGTATTTTTTTGTTTAATTATTTGATTAAAATGTATGATTTTTTAATTTTTTGTAGATTATAAACTTTTTTTTAAAAATATTTAAAACAAAGAAAGAAAAAAAAAGAAAAGTAACTTTTTTTTATTTTTGTATTTTTATATCTTTTTATATTTATATTTATCATTGTTAGTATTTTTTATTATTTTATTTTATTTTTTGAAAAGAATTTATTATTTTATTTTATTATAAATAATAAGCAATAAAAACTCAAAACCTAAAAAAAAAAAAAAAAAAAACATATCCAGTTACAATCGAATATCAACAAACAACATATTCTTTTTTCAAAATTCAATTAAAGCCCAACTTATCATGTCCAAATCCAATTAAAATTTAACACATTATGATATGTCAAACTCAATAACTTATTAAATTTTTTATCAACCAATAGCTATTTGACAAATAAAAAAAAATTTATTGCTTAATTGTGAGCTATCTTTCAATTTAGAGTTATCATTGATGAGAGGTAACTTTTATTTTACCAACCTTTATTTTTATTAAATATTTTATTAAAAAAATAAAAAAATTAATTGAAATACTTCCAAAATCTTTCAAACACTTTCGGAAAGATTCTAAAAAAATTCATCATTTTAGGAATTTCAAGCATCAATTGCAATTTTTTATTAATTTCATCATTAGAAAATTTTTTATTATTTTTATTTTATAAATTTACATGATACAAATAAATATAATTATAAAAAATTTACAAATTTATTTGTCTAAAACATATTTTTTGTTTTTTCTATTTTGCCAAATGATTAAAACATTTTCTTAATATAAAATTTTAAATATGTATGTAAATAAAAAATAAACAATGAAAAATAAAACTAAAAAGAAGAAAACAAATAAAATGAAAATAAAAATAAAAATACCAAAAATAAAAAAGCAAAGAAAAAAATTGATTAAAATGTGTCCAAAACAAAGAAAAAAATACTAAAAGTTTTTTTTCCTCAAATCTCCCCGAATCAATTTATTTCATGCCTTAATTAATCCTCTAATCATTTTTACTGTCTTATCTTAAATATCTTTGGATTTGAGAAATCACATTTGAAAATAACTTTAATATGTTGTTATAGATATTAATATGTTTTATAATAATAACTATACTAATTTTTTCTATTATGGGAAAAACTAATCATATTCGATTTATAGGTAACTATTAAAATTAGATCAAATTATGTCAAAACTCTTTATACATTTGTCAAAATTTGAAATTTAGTTTTATACTATAATTCATATAATTTAACTTTTTATATTATTGTAATTTAATAATCTTAATCTAATAATTAATTTCATCAAATTTTTGTCACTAAAAATGTTGACGTGACCGTTAAGTAGATGACTTAGTCATTGGCTTGATGACATAACGTTGATTTTGCTGATATGATAACTTAAATAGATGAAATCAATTGTTAATTATACAAATATTTCGTACTCACATAAAATT